CAGTCAATAAGGTTGTACTACATGAAGTGCAGACTATTATTGGTCATCCTAATTTTGCATATAAAGTCGTGGCCCCAGGATGAGCACTTTCTGCTTGGCTGTCAGCTGCTACTGCTAGGGTACTGAGGCCCAATTATTTTCATAAGAGTGAGTAAACAATTGGAAGATTTATGGATATGGGAACAGTTCCTAAATCACTTTAATGGAGTTGCCTTTCAGAGAGAGGAATGGATGCTATGCTAGAGGCAGACCTAAAAATTGGCTCTGATGCATCAGGGTAATTTTTTTTTAAACCAAGGCAGGTGGTGTGCTCAGAAATGGCTTACTGACTAAATGCAAAAGGAGATAGTAAATTCCTGGAATTCTTTCCCATTTTAGTTGCAGTGACTATTTGGGAGAAGGAGTTTACAAACCAAAGTGTTTCTGGAGTGACAACGCAGAAGCGACACATGTTATTGATCAACAGTCCTCCAGATCACTCAGCGTGATGAGATTTGCAAGGGCACTTGTCCTGCAGCATTCAATAAATAACTTCTGGTTTACTCGTAATAATGGAATAGTCAATGTTGTGTCTCAATTTCAGATGGACAGAACAGACGGAGACTTGACTCCAGGAGCCAACAAGGAACACAAAACAGATGCCACTGGCCCTTTGGAAACTTGGAGTATGACTGCTATTGGATGAGAGAGAAGGTGGTTGAGGTAATATCTTTTATTGGACCAACTTCTGTTGGCGAGAGAGACAAGCTTTCGAGCTAAAACAGTTCTTCTGGTGCCAGCCATATCTGGACACTTACCAGGCATCATCTGTAGCTGGATAAAAGGTTACTCTATCCTTGCAGCAGGTTTAGTTAGGATGTTAGAGGAGTGGTCTTGAGATAGAGGGCCAAGAGAAAATCCCCAACAATTCATTATTCAGATTCTTAGATATCTGGCACAGGTTTTCCACCAGATATGCCAGTGCAACCAAGAGGCAGCCTTGTTCAAGGCCACATTCCTGATGCCATTTTTTTGAGCATTTAGAGCCAGTGAACTAGTGCCTGGGTCAGCAAGGGATACTTCAGGTAGGCTTTTGGAGTTTAGGGACTCTCAGGATGGTGAGCCATCATCTTGACTTTGTAGACGTAAAAAATAAATCAGAGAGGACAAGGTGAGTCCATAGTGCTACAAGGGGGTGGTGAGGCAGGGATTTGCCAGTCAGGGCATTAAGGGCTTAAGGAGTTACCTCACAAAAATACTATTGTGTGGCAATCAAGGAGGCTTAATAATGTGACCAATCCTGGCTAATGAATTTAGGTCCCCTTTGTTCAGGTTTGGTGTTGCACGAGGGATGCAGACAATTGGGCATTGGAATTCAGATGGAGTACAGAACGTATGTGAGGCTTCCAGTGGGTAATCCGAGTTCAACGGCATGAATGGCTAATTTTAATATCTATTCAATTTTCAAGCATAAAGGAGTGGGTCACACGAACTGATGCATGTATCTGCAGATATGATTTGTGCACTGGGTCCACTGGTGGGCTGCTAGTTCACCTGTAAGTTCACAGGCAAGAAGATTTTGAGTTGGCATGAAAAAAGGAGCTGCTCTGGGACCAGCTGATGCCTCTTGCACTCAGACATCCAGGAAGTAGCCATTGGACAGGATTCTAGTGCACCTGGGTGAAGACAATTTAGAATTTTATGACAATCAGGGCCTTCTCCCAGGGGCAACTGTAAACTCTGAAAGGCTGCACCAGAGCAGGGTGGGGAGCTACTGACCCTAACCCATTCAAGAATCAATTCAGAAGGGCATGGCAAATCAGAGCTGGGTACACGCATGATTAGGTCAGTTTATAAGAGACTATTTCTGACCTCAGACCATTCTTCATGCCACACTGATGTAACAGAGAAATCCGGGCAGGGCAAGCAGGCTCAAAACGGATGCCTCGATGACAAGAGCAAAGAGGTAGTACTGAGCAAGGAAGGAATGAGGATCTGAATGGACAAGTTATTGCCAGATAGTTCCCAGACAAGTAAATGAAGTTGTGGCTTAATTAAACCACATCCTTCACATTTTGTTTATTCTTCCTATATGTTTGGTACAATGAAGATTGTAAAGCAAGACTAAGATTAATGTTCAACTTTTTACTCTAAGAGATCACAGTTGGAGTTAAACAGCTTTTATTAGATCTCAACAGAATCTGTGGTGAGCCAGACCCTACAATTTATCACTTGCAATATAGAAAAAGGACATTTAGGACATACTATATTTCACAATCAAGAAAAGGCAGTAAATAAAGTCAGCTCATATTTGTAATCCAGACTCATTAACTGCATCCATATGTGTCATTAACTGATTTTAAATTCTTGAGGATTTAGTCAGCACTCTCAAAGGCTTCCTGCTCACATAAATGCTAGTCCATTAACAGCATGACGAGTTTTTCCCATAAGGAATTTGGAAGCAACTACTGTACATCAATAACTCAGCTCACCAAAATCATCATGCTATACAATATAGCCTAAGTGTTCACCAATTTTTTAAACTCAGGGCTTTTTCTTCCTTCAATAATATTACTATTCTAAAACAAAGTAAGTGTCAGACTAGCATAGCCAAACCCTTGATACATTGGAGAGGAAAGTACCATCATTACTTAAGGCAGGTAAAAACTTGAATTTTGTCATTAAACACCTGTGACAGCCTAACCCGATCTTGAAAAACCTTTATGAATGAACCCTAGAAATATTTTACCCAGTGGTACTTTATGAGCCTGTACTGTGAAGCAAGTTATGAAGGAATTTCATCATCTTTGTCCCAATAGCACACTTTATCATGCACACTTATTAAATTAAAGCAGCCTTCCTTAACAAGTATTTTCAGAGCACCTTTGGTTCTTCAGTTTGATGGTGAACTTGATTTTTTTTTTTAAACCCACAATCCCTGCTTGGCCTTAGAACAATGGTGTCAAATTTGAGCTCAATGCCCTTTTCAAACTTTAGCGCTCTTCTCTTTGTCAACTCTGTGTTGTATAAATAGAAACAAAAGGAGGTGTAAACATTCAAAATATTTTCAAAAAATTTGACAAGAATGCTATAGCTCTTATTACTACACTAAATTGGTCAAGGTGGGTGCTAGCAATTACTAGTAGTTTAAAATGTCACCATTATTTTAACATTTTTAACTTCCACTTTAATTGGAGATGCTCACCGTAGTGTGCTACTTTAACTACATGTTCCAAATGTCAACACTGATTTTAGTCCTCCAAAGAGGACTTTAGTACACAACTCTACCCGATCCTGGGGGGGAAGTGGGAGGGTGGGAGTAGATGGGAAATGCATCAATCTGCTCTGTAAAGAGGGTACTGGTTTTAAAATACAGTAAAATTCTTACTATTTGTTTGGAAGATGTTTTATGTGGCGGGTCACAAAAATGTACAAGGGAGGTATTTATTCTCAATATAGTATTTTTAATTATATGGGGAGTAGGTAGTAGACAAAGGTTACTAGACAAAGCACTTGACAATTTCTGAAAGCATAGTTGACGTTAAACTTGAGGTCTTCAATTAAGATTTTGATGGTATTAGCTCAGTCACATGAAAGCCACAATTTTTAAAGTCTCCAAGTAGACAGAGTCTTGAACTGCTAGACTCGTTACAGTGAGAAAGTAGATGGGCCCTCCAGGATCAAGGCTAAGGTCATTTATACAGTAATATAGGGACACAAAATGGAAGTAAATCCCTGGAGCAAGGAGCAGATGACTTCTGGTTCATCACTGCTAACTCCCTTATTCTGTCAGCACAAAGCTATACAAAACTAAATGAAAGGACATCAATGGGACAACAACAAAAAAGAAAATCACTTGTCTGAGTATTTTATTTCCTTTTACAATTAACACCCAAGATTTGTTTAAGATGAGAAAAATGTATTCCCCCCACATGTTAATGTATGTGACAGCATTTTGTATATATACACAGCTTCATATTTCACTATATAAAATTTTGTCTGGGGTTCTTTTCCCACAAAGAAAAAATATTTCAAAAACAGAAAAAAAATGTGGATTTAAGATAATAAGAATCAGCGAAGGGATTCGTAAGCAAGAGTAATACCTAGATTACTTTGAACTCATTTTGAAACTGCCTAGATTTCAAGACGAAAGTGTCCCATTAAAGTTATTTTATCCAGTTCAACCAGAACAGCAGCTCAGTTTGTAGATCCCTTAAACTCTAACACCTGCCAAAAAATGGGTTACTTTTTTTTACATACCTTTATATGCGTTAATGACAAGCATAACCACCATTGTGTTGCTTCATGCAATATAATCTGCATCAAAAGCAGGTTGCCTTGGGAACTACAGTCAAACCAATATCCCCATACATTTACCTCTCACAGTAATATAGAACCATAAAAATATAGGGCTGGAAAGGAGCTCAGGAGGTCATCCTGTCCATCTTCTCCCTCCTCCCCCACACAAGAGGCAGGATGTAGTATACGAAGACCACACACACTGTATTAAATGGCAAGGACTAAAAGCAGGAGACTGCAGCTAGGAGTGCAGGAGAGGAGACTGTCGCCTGACCCAGGGCGAGAGAGCACGTCTAGCTATTGCTGTCCGCAGTGGCTGTCACAAAAATAGTCACCTGACCAAGCCCCTAAGCGCAGGAATGGGAGATGCACGGATTCCACCGGGCACTGCCTCCCTTCCAGAGACAGCCCGACTTTAGCCGCAGCGCCGTGGTAACGAAGACTAGTTATTCAAGTTCATGGCGAAGTCAACAAGTAGCTCAGCAAAGCGACAGCCCGCCAGGTGCTTGTCAGCGACTGCTCCTATTACCTTCCCGCTACAGCCTCGGCTACGCAGTCTGGAGGAACTGAGCCGATCGGCTAGGACAGGCTGCAGCCCCGGGCGCAGCCAGCCCTTTGCTCCCTCTCCCCCTGCCGCGCCAGGAAATCTGGCCAATTTTTCGCTAAATCCTTGGCAGTGACTAGGAGAAAAAAAATCACTACCTGCTGGGAGAATCACCTACCGCAAGCCCAGCTGCCTGAGCTCTGAGTCAGCCTCCGGGGCTGCAGGTCCGGCGCGGCCAAGAGCGAAACAAAAGCCGAAGAAGTCGCTGCAGCCGCCCCTTGGGAGGCCACGGAGCCGCGTCGCAGGCAGCCCAAGGCATTTAACGGGGAGGGAGAGCACAGCTTGGAGGGGCCCGGAGAGAAACCCAGCTCCACGCTCCCATTACCTCCTTCGCTGCTGCTGCCATTCCACTACCCTCCGAAAATGGGGGGGGGGGGGCTCACCAGAACAGGAGCATCCCCCAACCCTCACAAAGCCCCCGCTCCTCGCCAGCCCAGCCCCCTCCCTTCCCCGCTGGCTAAGAACTTCGGCGCTCTACAACTGTAATTGCTGGAGGCACAGCCAACTGCATTGCACCCGGGGGCGGGGGAAGGAGGGGGGGGGGCAGAACGGCGGCTGTCAGCCCAGCCCCAAAGGCCCGTGGAACACCCCGCACAAGTTGCACCAGCCCCCATCTTCCCACTGGGAAGTTTCCAGCCCCGGTCCTCGACAATTCCCAGAGGCACAGAGAGCCGCGCCGCGAGGCGGGGCGGGAGAAGAGAGCGGCCCTCTCAGAGCACCCCCACCCCTGAACCACAGCCCCACTCACCTCCCCCTGCAGCTGCGCTTTGCCCCGCTTTGCGCGGCACTCGGGCGCTCCTCTCGCTGGCTCTGTGCGCGCCTTCGCTCTCCCCGGGACTCGCGGGCGGGCGCGCGTGCTCAATACCAGCCAGGCCCGCCCGCGCCTTCCCTCCCTCTTTTGCCTCGGGCTCTGGCGGCACCTGTTCTGCTTTGTGACGTCAGCACACCTAAGCGCCTTCCCCCAACAGGAGCGCACCTGGCCGGCAAGGAGCCCCCTCCCTTCAGTCTCCCTCTCCCGCAGGAGCGCTCCTGGCTGCCCCTGCAAACCGCTCTCACCTGTCTGTGCAATAGACAAAACAAGGATCCTAGTAATGGACACAGCTTGCCTGCATCTACCACTGCTGGAGAAGTCTGGGGTAGTGATTAGCGGAAGCTGATGGGCGCTAGGAGGGCTGGGTTTAGTCCCGATGCTAGGAGACAGAGCTTAGATCAGGAAATTGGGGGTTGGGAGGGAGGATAGGACAGGGAGGTGCTGTGCTTGGTTGTGCCAGGCTCGCTGGGTGACCTTGGGCTTGTCACTTGAACTCTCTGTGCCTCGGTTGCCCCCACTGTTAAATGGGGCGCTAGTAACGTGTTTCCACCTTTGCAAAGTGCTTTGGGAGCCTCTGCCTGAAGGAGCTATAGAGGTACAAATTTGTTTTCTTTTCACTTGATTTAAATAAATAAAATCAGATGCAAATCTTGAGGAAAAGAGAGGAAGCTGTTAGAATGGCTTAATCGGTCAATAACTAGGAGTAACAAGATGCAACTAAGAAAAAGGAATATCAGGAAGATCATCCTAACCCTAGAGGCCTCTTAGGGTCCAATCCTGCAGTGCAGCATGACAGGCATAGGGGTCTGCCCATATTGGGTTCATTGTAGGATCTGCCTTTTACAGATGTAAACAGGTGTCTTCCACTGTTCGAGGTATGGAGTTTTTATATCTTTGTTATTGGAGAATCATCCATTTCAAGCTTGTAACTTGGAGAGGTTTTTAAGGCTAGGCATAAGAGTACCTTACAGACCTGACATTACTATCACAGGTCTTCAGCTGTTTTGAATCATGTTCCAAGTTAGGTGACTAATTAGCAATGCTCTGAGTTGCATTTTGGGTACCTCTCACATTCAAGCTTAGCTTTGCATCTTTGTTACCTCTATGATCTTAATGGACTTGCCCCACCTTCTATATAGCTGCTGGGTGTATTAGTTAGAATTATAACTAATAACTATAAATCCTGTTTTATTTCACCTTATTTTTAGCATATGTGTAGCTTAAAGCATAGCACATGGAGCTGAGCATCATGAGATTTGAGTCAGTCATTTGCTGCATGACCTTGGGCAAGTAACCTAGACACAGAGCCACAAAGGTATTTAGGCACCTAAACCCCAGACTTAAGCACCTAAGTCCCAGGTTTGGCTCAAATGTGACCCACCAAGCTCCCTCCAAATGCTGTAGGTGCCTAAACCTGCTCAGTGCCTAAGTTTTCAAGGTAAATGTTCCCTAGGCATCTATATTTCAGGCTCTGGGCATGCACGCTGCTGCCCCACTTTAGGCATTCCTGTCTCCCACCTAAGCCCCAGAGAAATTCACAAACTAGGACTGCTTAAGTCGCATATGGGGGGGGGGGCTATACAGTGAGTATGCGCAGAGGCCACTTACAGGATAACTCCCATTTAAAATGTGGCTGGTGGAGGGGCCACCTCCATAACTTTTAGCCCAGTAGTTAAAGCACTTGCATGGGATGTGGGAAACCCAGGTTCAATTCCCCCCCTCTCTGCAAGAGAGGGAGAAAAGATTTGAACAGGAGATCTGCCTACCTCTCAGGAGGATGCACTAACCACTGAGTTATGGGAGAGTCTGATGTACTTCCTCAGTCTCTCCTATTGAAGCTGTTCCCTTGTGGATAAATAATGAAAGAGTGATTGAACCATGAGGACTGGCTTCTGGGTCTCCCTCCTCCCAGGTGGGTGCCCTAATCACTGGACTACAGAGTCATTTCCATTTTCTCTCACACCGAATGACTGTTTATCCACAATGGAACAGTCATTGGGCCAGAATAGCCCATAATGGGTAGAACCCCTCTTTGAGCGGTAAGACACCTCTGTCTGAAGTCCACTCTCCCATCTGGCATAGAGAGGGTAACAGAACTTGGATCTCCCACATTGCAGGTGAGTGATATGGGCTAAAAGACAGAAGGTGGGCAGCGACTCCTCTGTCATTTTGTGTGTTGTGTGAGGCAGATGCCTAAATCATTCCCATGAGAAGTGGCTTAGGCAGCATGTTCCAGGTTGTGGATCATTAAGCAGAGATAAATGTCCATCCCTGTCATAGCTAATAGGAAATGCCAAGCTTAGGTGGCTCTCTGCCTAGTATCCTAGCTTTGGTGGATCACATTCTGATGCCACCAATCTCTCTCCATTCATTGTATAGGAGCCTAACTCAGGCTTTGTGGATGGCAGTGTTGTTCCTTTGAATTTCTAGGCACCCATATGATGCTCATTGTTGAAATGCTTAAATTCCTTTAAAAAGAAAAGGAGTACTTGTGGCACCTTAGAGACTAGCAAATTTATTTGAGCATAAGCTTTTGTGAGCTACAGCTCACTTCATCGAAAGTGTAGCTCACAAAAGTCTCTAAGGTGCCACAAGTACTCCTTTTCTTTTTGCGGATACAGACTAACATGGCTGCTACTCTGAAACCTTAAATTCCTTTGTGGATCCTACCCTTAGTCTGATCACATGAGGTGCAGAGTACTTCCTTTAATGGTAGTTGAGGATATTCAGCATGCCACAGGAAGTGCTCTGCACCTCCTAATATTGGGTTTTGATCTCTTTGCCTTTGTTTTGTTTTGTTTTTTTCCCCAAAGGAGGAAGGTCATCCTGCTATTTCTGTAAAGTGCTTTGAGACTTATGGATGGGGAAAAGTGTGATATAAGTGCAAATTAGCATTGCTTTAAATCTGCTTAATATTAGTACATATGTGAAATAAATAAGGATATAATTGCAAAGTACTGTACTAATGCAATGTTAAGGTTGCATAACTCAAACAATCTTCTCAAGAAACCATGAGCAAAGATTTCAATGGCAATGCTAACACATCTGTATTGCACATCTTGTATGATCTGTGATATTCATGTTATGACAAAATGTATAGTTTATCAGAAAAACGGGAATATAAAATACTATGTATGTGCAACGTGGTCAAATTCATGTTGCTATTGGAACTTGACTACTGGGTATTTTAACTCTGTGCTCTCAATATTGAGTTAATGCAGGTTTTTTCATTTAACTTCCTAGGGTTTTTGTGTGTATCTGAAAGCTGGGGGCGGGTGAGGCGGGAGATTTCTTATGCTAAAATAAGAATTTAAATCTCTTTTAGCCCCAAGAATAGCATAAGTGATTAAGCTGTTTTAACTGCCTCAAAAGTAGTAGATAGAATAATCTTGTAAATTTCTCTAGATATTTATCATAACGTAAGTGTTTAAACCACCTGAAATTCTTTGATTGACGTAACATTGATAAGAAATCCTTGAATTAAAGGGCCATAGAAATGGACAGTATTATAACCTTTCAAAACATATCCCTCTCATATGCCACTAGTGAATCTTATGCTGATCTAAATATGTATAAGTGTAGTTGAATGCATATTCAAAGATGTGTAATTACCATCATCTTGTTTGTTGCTAGGAATTGAATGTAGGACTAGTAGTTAATGGTTGATTATGCCCTGAAACATGTGGGTTATAGCCCTTGTATTTTTTTATACTATTGCAGTTTTTGTTTTTTGGGGGTTTTTTTTTGAGAATCTATAGAATTGTCTACTCCTTTCATCCATCTAATTTCTTGGCCTATAAAATATTTTGTGGCAGTGAGTTCCACAGATTAATGCACCATGTAAAAAATTACTTAGTCATTTGCTGGGGTTTCATGTAAATTAGACCTGGGGGAAGAGTTTGGTGAATAAATCCAAATCTGATTAAAGGAGTTCCTACTTTTTGATTAGAAATAACCCCATTTCTGTGGCTCACATTTGGATTTGATCACCAAATCCTTCACTCAACCTTAACGTACACCTTCTTATTGTCACCTGGCTCCATGGAACCAGTCACCCTCTGCCCATGAAAAATGTGCAGGAGAGGTGTCTGGAGGATGAAAACTCAGATATTCCCCTAGTAGAATTTTCCCAAATCATTCAGTAGGGGAGGGAGAGCAGAGCAGCATTTTCCCCTTCCTCACTTGCCCGCAAACCCATGTGAAATGAACGGAGTTCTGCCCCTTAATGTACAGATTCCATGGGGCCTGAAGGAGGCAAGGGGAATCTATGTCTAGGCCCTGTGCTTTTGCCCTGGCTTTAGAGCTACCTGATCCCCTTGACTACGAAGTAGTGAATCCCGTGACCACTGTCCTAGCCTGCCCTCATGGCTGCCCTCCAACTTGGCCTACATCGGCTGACGTGGAGACTCCCAGGCTCCCAACAGAGTTGTACTGATAAGATTTCTTTCCCCTACAACCTGCCCCCTGGAGTATGGGGTCAACAGTGTCAAGGCCAACTGATATTTCATTAACTTTTCACTGGGTTTCCTGTTAGGGCTTGGTGTGGAAAATA